AATGTCATAAATTGTGTTTTTTCTTTGTTTCTCTGAGGATTATTTACAAACAGGCTTATTTACATATAGCAATAACTCAGAAATGAAAAAGCTACATCGTCTAACACGAACAACCACTTAGCATAATGATAATATATGTGTTATGTACAATGTAACTGGCAAGGCTAGAGCAAGAAAGAACATAAAGTTTGCAAAAGGTTTAAATAACTTCAAGTATCTGTCTTCAGATTACGTGGAGGTTTTAGTCCGATGGGAAGCAGATTTTAAGCGACACCGAAGATAAACCAAAAATGTGGTGGAGCTGCAAACCGTGTAGTGTTGCTGGGACAGAACAGGAGCTATAACCGTTGGAAAATACATCACAGACAATGCAACAAACGTGGAGACAGAACAATCACTTCTGTGATAAATGCCCACTTATTAATAAACTTCTAACAACCATGGGAAACCTCCTCTCTACATATAAAGTGATATCCAAGCATGGGAAACAAAAGACAGCATTTACCTGTTTGCATCCAGCTAGCCAAGCCTTTCTTGTGTACCAGCTACTTGTGAAGCCTCGTGTATAAATGTTGTCTTTTTCACGAGATTGCTGCGATATATTCAAATCGGGTTGGTCCGGTGCAAGGTCTTTAAGCAACAATTTATCTGCCAAACTTCTCCTTTCGAAAGGATTGGAGATTAGCTCTTGAACAGAATTAGCCGGGGACCGAGGTCCGGAGACTCCACCTGCACACGAAGCCATCCTCATCAACTACTACTTGCGTCAACCGGATACGAGTCACTGTCCAAACTACTCACAGACTGCACTGGGCGCTGACATTGGCGCCCGGTGACCGTCATCTTTGACGACGCTGATTGGCTGAAATTATATTTTCGCGGCATAGTTTACACGTTACAGATAGCAACAGTCAGCTGCTGGTGGCTGCTGCTGCACTGGTTGAAGGCTCCTCTCTTAGCGCCCAGACGAGAGAAGGTGCATGGGCAAGGCCAGGCAGGAAACATGTGACTTATCAGTAACTTTAGACATCGTAACACAATTTTAAACGAGATTTTATTGTAGATTATACATTTTACTGATACCAATTATATAATATTTACCTTGTTCATTAAAAATAAAAATAAAAACATATATATTTTTTTAAACATATTTTTTTTTTTAATTTTAATTTTAATTATTATTATTATTTTTTTTTTTCAATATGGGAAGAGGTGGGGCGGCGCCCCTAGCGCCCCTATGGACCGGCCGCCACTGGGCTTAAATGAAATGAAATGTATATAGATGCCAAATAAACCAGTGGATGAAGTACTCAGATGTTCTTAAGTAAAAGTACCAACAATAAATTGTAGAAATGCAAGTAAAAGTCATGCATTAAACATCTTACTTTAGGTAAGATTTAGTAAGTACAAAAGTATTGGTATTCAAATATACTTAAAGTTCCAGAAGTAGAAGTACTTGTTATGCATAATGGCCCATTTCACAATCATGGATCATGATTATAAATGCATGATTGTGTTATATAGCTAATTTAAATGACATACTGTATACTGAAGCTAGATATATTATCCTATAATTATACATCAATGTGTTTTCATGGGTTCATTTATAGCTAATTATCTGTATCTGTAAAGTAACTAAAGCTGTCAGATACATATGGTGGAGTACAAGGTAGCAAAAGATGTACTTTACTTCTTCAGAAAAAGTACTTATAACATTATACTTAAGTATGTCTTAGTTATATTTAAAGGGGACCTATCATGCAAAATGCACTTTTGTACGTCTTTTCTACATGAATATGTGTCCCCGGTGTTCCAGGGAACTCACCAAGTGTCAGAAAACACAACCCTCTCTATTTTCCTCCGTACCCAAATCTCTAAAAAAGGGGCTGCAACGGATCTGATAAAAACTGATCCAGATTTGAACACTGTCCTGACGTCAGGACGGTGGCGCTACGGCTATTGGGCCAACTCCACCAATCAGGAGGAGACAGCCACGGCCATTGCCGTTCGAAAGCGCTGGAGACGCTGTAGTACATATGCCAGGCCTGTAGATGGTGCTGTTCTCACAGAATCAGCCCTTGCTAAAACAGAGATAAAAAATGTCAAATTGAGCGAAATGAGGCATGGCTAAAATGCATGATCTGTTTGGTATTTAAAAAAAAAAAGTATAAATATGCCTTATATAGGTATGGTCCTACACTATATTATTCAAATATAGCATGATAGGTCCACTTTAAGTTCGGGTCTTCAGTGAACACACCATTTTAAAAAAGGATAACAAGATTACTGTAGGTACATTACAGGAGTGTTAAAACACCCAAACATGCACACGTATCTTATTCTAGTAGAGATTAGAGGACAGGTCTAATGTTGTGAACAAAATTATCAAGTCAAAGTTATTTTTTATTTTATCTTATGTACCACATTTAATTTAATAATTGATCTTAAATTACTAATGTGGATTTGTGGGGGAAACTTCTGTGTAGCAATGCAGTGGGAGTCACCGACTCAAAGGAGACATGGGGAGAGCTGCAGCTTTGATGTCAAACACTGATGGGTTTATTACGAGCTTCGGCCGGAGAATTCACAAAACAAGTAAAAGAGCCAGAGGTTCTGACTTCACGGGAGAGTTGCCACGTCAATTCTGAAGAGCTCTACCCCAGACCCGTGTGTTTAGCTATAGTTCAGAGAGAATAATCAACATTGAGCATAACAAGATAGAATCATAACACCTCTATCAGCTGACGCCATCAGGCAGGAGCAGGGAGACGAACCACTGAGAGCACAGCAGCCAAGGTTACAGGTGCGTGTGCTCAGTCAGGTCAGTTTGAACTGAGAAACTGGGTCAAAGTTATGGGCCTTGGAAAATATTTCCCCAACAAAACGTACATTTGGTTTGTTATATAGCACAATAACATCTAATTTGATTTATTAATTACATGTATTGATATAGAAGACATAAGAAAGAAAGCCACAGGATAACATGTAGAGTGTGAGAACTTAATTGCAACATGATATGATAACAAATACAGTAAGTGTTAGAAATGAAACCACAATAATCTGCCTGTGAAGAAGTGCAATAACCAGTGTAAATAAATACATTTACCACAGTTGAAAGGTGGCTGCAAAGACTTGAAAATGCACCTTAAAGTGCTTAATTGTGACTTTGTAAAATAGGAGCATGTATTGAGTTTGTTTACCTGACCTTTAATTAGTCTCCTGATTTTACAACCTGCAGCTCAGGTCTCAGAGATGGAGGGAGGGCTAACTCCTCAAAGAGCAACATTAGAAATGAAATACCAAGAAAGCTTTTATTTTAGATCACATTGAAACCTCTAGGAGGACAATTTTAAAGTGTTTCATTACAAGGAAAGTCCAAAGTAGGAGTGCATTCATTAAGTTATACAGAATAGTCCCTCTATAAGCAGTCTGAAGTGGAGCTAATAAATATGATACATTGCAATCAATACCAACATATTTGATATAAAGATATTTCAATGTATACACCGCCTGAATGCATATGTGTTCATATATAGGTGTATGTCAGTGACGTGCGGTGAGGTTCATGGCTGGTGAGGCACTGACTCTTTCAGAGTCAGATTTACAAATATTATAGCCTATTTTGACCTTAATCGAAATATTCGGTTATTTTCAAAAGCTTTTTTAGTCTGATGCTATGATTAATTTTAAACAGACCGATCAACAAAAGGATACCTAAAATCTAAATATTGGATTGTTCTTTCTAAGTAAGATCCCATTTTCATTACAGTTGTGGTCTTACCTTGACTTGAAGATGAAGTCCATGCTATCCTTCTGGACAACAATCTCTATTACTGTTTTGTAAAAGTCGTCCTTATCTTCCTGTAGTTTCAAAAGTCGAGTTTGTTGTTTGCGGTAGAATAACAGTAGCAACAAGAACCTGTGGGCTCACGTGCACCCCCTTCAGTGCGGCAGAGGTTATGGCTGCCTCCCCTGGGATTTTTTCATTGCCGTTGTTCGAGAGACCAGCGAACCTAAATATCATATACACGTGAAATAAGTTATTTAGAGACTATGGATGGCGAGGATAAATGTAATAAAGGGATCTACAAACATTACATTGGTGACCTACAGTGAGATGGGAACAGGCATGCGCTTAGGGCCCGCTTTCCAGCCAGTTTCTGTGGGGTGACGCATTCTGAATTGAGGCAGATCTCATCTGTGCCTCACCTACCCCACAGTAAATGGCTTGAGCGCGCTCACAAAATAAGTGGCCGCGCTAAATTAGTGCCCGCGCTCCAGCAAGTTACTGTGGGCTTACGAGAGGCAGTGCTCGTGCCTGCCTCACTTCTCATCGCTCCCGTAGCGGAGCTCGGCCAATTTGCTGATTTTGACTATAAAATGCGATTGGAATCATACATAAATCACACTTACACAAGATCAGTGGAGACATTTTATTATTATTATTTAGTTTTTCTTTAATTGTTTTTCCGTTACATTGGAGTATGACAGGTGAGGCTCTGCCTCCCCTGCCTCCACTGACTGCACGTTGCTGGTGTATGTGTATGTATGTATGTATGTATGTATGTATGTATGTATCATACATACATACATACATACATACATACATAATGTATGTATGTATGTATGTGTCTATGTATGTGTGTGTGTGTGTGTGTGTGTGTGTGTGTGTGTGTTTAAGAAGGTACATGTGTACGTGTGTAGATATTTGTAATTTTAAACAACCCCTATGTACTTTTTCGTTTATATATAAAAATATGCATATCCTATATATACAATCAACGGACACATTTATACATATGCACACATTAAGACATAAATAAAAGCACAATAATCAATATATACAAAATAACAGTCACTTCAATATCTTTGGGAAATGTACATTAGTGCAAGACTAGTGTCCATAGCAGCGTAAAAAGTGTCTGGTGCTGGATTTGAGTCTCTCTGTGTGTATGGGGTGTTAAAATCTAATGTCTCTCCTCTCTCTTATTTTTCCTTAGACAACAGCTCCAGCCTCAACATCTCCAACATCTCCTTCTCTTTGTCGTCGGACGCTGAGGAATACCTGGAGATGAACGGCTGGCAGATCTGCAAAGACCAGGACGAGATGTTGAACCTGGCGTTCACCGTGGGCTCCTTCCTGCTATCGGCCATCACGCTGCCCATGGGCATCGTCATGGACAAGTACGGTCCAAGGAAGCTAAGACTCCTGGGCAGGTGAGGAAAACCCATTTTTAATGATTTAAGAAAAAGAAAGGACTTGTCTGCAAATTTGAGGGCATATTTCTTACGGGCCGTCTCCACGGCAGCGTTAAAAAAATCTTGGAGGTGGGCGTATCTGAAGCTTGGGGATTTTTTTGCGATCAACCAATCACATGAATCTCCCGCCCGCGACATACGAAGCCAAAAAGCCCGAAGTAAACTGGATATAAACTCCCCAAAACAGGCGAAAACATACCACTGTCTCTGCCACCTCCCTCCATGCCTGGCTCCTCCGGTTTATATCCCGGTAGGTCTGGTCATAAAGCACCGGGTGATTGATTCGCTACCGCTAATTTCTCCTCCATTTTTTGGAATATGAGGAAATGATCTGCGGTATGTCTCTCCCAGCATACACGCCGTTTGATTGGCTAGAGCTTGAACTGTCAGATTTGCGTACACGGGATTTGATTGGCTGACGCTTCCTCCTCAGCTTCAAAAGTTGAACATTGTTCAACTTTGGATCTTGAAAATCCTGAGAATCTCCGCTCGCCTGCCCACAATGCATTTCGGCGAAAGCGAAAAAAAGTGACGTCACCCCATTCAAAGTGAATGGGCAGAAGCGTTTCAAGATTTTTTAACGCTGCCGTGGAGACGGCCCGTAAGAGCAGTGGCGAGCCGTGAGCTTTATACCTAGGCCCTCTGACCCCCACCCCTTCCCTCGAAAAAAAGGAAAAAAAAGAGTTATTACGTCACAGCGTATACTTCAGCGGAATATCAAAACAACGGCCCAGGGTGCAAAACGCATCAATGACAGCGACCCTCTACCACACAAAACAACACCTGTGAACCCAATTTGTGTTCTTTGACATTGAAAATGATATTGCATTGTGTTTGTTACTTTCGTTACAGTTGTATGTCTTAAGTGTAATTTGGCATGATTTTATTTTGAAGGCGAGTTCACGCTGTTGACAGGAAGTTGTTGTTGCTATGGAAACAAGAAAAGTTTCACAGCGGGCGGAACTTGTCATAAAGTCCGCGATAATGAAACCCATCCATTTAGAGGGAAGATATGATTGGTCAATTGTACTGTCATTTGACATTACTCTCTCGTTCAGTTACTATAGCGGGCCCTCTGTGAATCGCAGAGAGGACCAGACCTTCTTTCATGTAACCCTTCACATTCAAACAGAGACCGAACAGGCAGATTCGAAGGATTTATTTCTTTGGAAATGTTATTTTATTAAATCAAGTTTTTTTTCGGTAAAACTAATGAAAAATATAACAAAAATAATATAAAAAAAATATATATTTTTAAAAAATATATTTTTTTTTAATGTTTTTAAATATTATTTTTTGGAATATCTTAGGCCCTCACAGAGGGCCTAGAGGGCCCTGACGGCTCGCCACTGTCTAAGAGTATAACTACTATACATCGCTGAGCAAATAAAACCCTTTAAAATGTCTCGTTAATGTGTCTTTTAAAAGGATAAGGGAACAAATATGAGCTCCCAAAGCCAGTTGACTTGGCACAAAAAAAGAAAAATCCTGCCAGATGCATCCTAACCAGCATTCAGCTAGTTAGCATGTTAGCAGTTAGCTGGACAGAAATAACTAAGATAACTTTTAAGTTACAAAGCGTATAAGAACTGAGATCATAAAACCCTTTGAAAAGAAGTGTACATATATATTTTAAGTGGATATTAAGCTTGGAAACATACAAACACATTACCAAAGCTAACTTGGTAGAAAAAACATATTATCCTGGTGAGTAACAGCATGCAGATAGTTAGCATAATTAGCAGTTAGCTGGACAGGAAGAACTAAGATAACTTTTAAGTTTCAAATAATATAAGAAACTGAGGACACAAAACCCATTGAAAAGAAGTGTTAATATGTTTTTTAAGTGGATATTAAGCTTAGAAAAGTATGCTCTAAAAGCCAGTTTACTTGGTGGGAAAAACATATTTTCCTGGCTATTAACAGCATGCAGCTAGTTAGCATGATAGCTAGCTAGCTGCCATAGTAACTCCTAGAAAAGCACTTGTGTTCAATTTGTTAAATAAGGTTTAAATCAAACATTTTGAATAAAACTAGCAAGTTGTTGTAACTCAGCAGAGTACTGAAAGATGCAGAAAGGCTTATATAATATTTACATTTTCATTAACTACCGAAAGTAATGTTATCTCAATATTTAACATATTTTTCCACTTTATTATGGGACGGTTTTTATTTATTGATTAATTTGTACCTTTGTGTTTCCAGTGCCTGCTTTGCCTTCTCCTGCCTGCTCATCGCCTACGGAGCCAATGACCCCAACAGTACGTAACCCTACTCTTTATATAATCCTATGAGTCCTCATTATCTCTAAAACAAACAGACCTGGTGATTAAACCTGATTAAAAACAGCAAATAAAGCAGTTGTACGTGAAAAATCAATGTGTTTCAGATATAGTTCAGTGGAAACAGGACATCCCTTGAGCTGCATCTAATCTTTGCCCAGCTTGTTTCTCGGATAACTTCATATACAGACATTTAGGAGTTATTTACAGGGTGCCGAATTAACCACATAGGTCTTTTTATCCCAAAAATAAACAGATCTGCTAATAAGAATCTGTTAAAACGCTGAACAAAGCAGTTAATAATCTGTGTTTCTCCCATGAACACAGCTGGATTGAGGCGCTACGAGCTAACCGCTAACATTTGCTCAGCTTGTTACTCTGATATCTTAAGATCCAGACGTCACTATACTATTACAATCCTGTATCTGGCTCAAATATGCTGTTAAAAACATTAATAACAATCATGCTGATACTCTAAAAGTCCTAAAAGCCATTGACTTCATCAATCCAAAAATACGGCCCTTATTCAGTTAAATGTCTTGAATACATCAGGTTTAGATAGATAGATACTTTATTGATCCTAATTTGGGAAATTCTTTCTTCACAGAAGCATAAGTGTGTTCAGACATTCAAATACAAATACTTTAAATACTTTAAAAAGTGGGAAAGAGAATGGACAATTACAAATAAAATGAAACAATTAAAAATAATCTGGATAATTAAAATAAAAAAAAATTTATATAAGGATCCAAAATACTACAAAACATTCTAAGATATTCCAAGTGTCGCATTGTAAAATCTAAAAAAGAATCTGTTTAAAAACACACACAGTGATGCACACACAGTATATCGATGCATTGGTGACACTTAAATCAATCAGGCAGGATGTGTGTGTTTTACTTTGAGTCACTAATGTGCTCTTCCTCCTGTAGATCTGTCCATGCTCATCTTCTTCGCTCTGGCGTTGAACGGCTTTGGAGGAATGTGCATGACCTTCACTTCGCTCACAGTGAGTAATAAGACTTATATTTTAAGATTAAGGCGGTGGATAATCAATGCTTTCTTGTCACTGGTTTACTTTTAGAAATGTCTGGGCCTTATAACACGTTTTTTCTTTGGTGCACACTTATTGTTTTCAATGAAAGTGCTGCGGTTGGTGGGTTTCCCAAAAGAGGAAGTACATTTTTGTGCCGTTTAATATGAGCAAACAGTGTTGGAAGTGTTGACTTTTGGAGGCTGAGGCTATCATATTATCTGCGTTATCTGTCAAGTTATACAACCCCTGCTCTGCCAGGGTACAAACGGCTCCTCACAGCATATAAATTGTCATAAAAAATACGTATGGATAGTTTTTTGCCTAGTTTGTGACTGAGTTAGCTAACTGGTAGCAAGCCAATGTTTCCAGGGTCCTTTTAAGAGATTATAGGCTATCTCCGCAGTTAAAATGATGGAAAATTTAGCTTTTTGAACCCATATGAATGGTAAAAATCTGTCCTGCCATCGTGAAGACATCAACGTTTAAGGGTATAAGTTGTATGTGGCTGATATCAGTATATTGACTTAGAAAAACCTACATTTCCTAACACATAAGATGCTTTTTTAGGCTGCTTGAATGGGACGTATGAAGAGGATATTAATATAAGGAGACGATGATAATTGGTGGGCAGTTGTAGTGTAACAAACTAAACAAAATCAATAATTAACCCGAGGAAGATAAGCTCATTTAGCAAGCTAGCTCGGTGCCAAAAACGGCACATTTATCGGGCTATTACCAGCTAGCTCGTATGTTAGCAGTTAGATGGACAGCCAGCACTTTCTTACATTACCTTTTGTGTTCAGGTCAATATATCATCTGTTCAATAAAACTGCTGAAATGCAGTCTGCCCGACAGAAGGCCAGATTTTCTAATAACAAAGTCAATATTAGAAAAGCAGCACAGCAGATACGATATGAAAGGACGGCAGAGAGATGTAGAGATTTGGAACGACACATTGTGATTTGGAGGAAGAGGAGCGAGTAAACAGAGAGTGGATTAGAGGTGAGAGCATCAGACAGACACTGATGCTCTGAGGACGAAAACAAAAGAGAGACAGATGCTTCAGAGAGAGAGGGGGACGTTTGAAAAGATGGAGACAGAGAGAGAGAGAGAGAGAGAGAGAGAGAGAGAGAGAGAGAGAGGGGGACGTTTGAAAAGATGGAGACAGAGAGAGAGAGAGAGAGAGAGAGAGAGAGAGAGAGGGGGACGTTTGAAAAGATGGAGACAGAGAGAGAGAGAGATAGAGAGAGAGAGGGGACGTTTGAAAAGATAGAGACAGAGAGAGAGAGAGAGAGGGGACGTTTGAAAAGATGGAGACAGAGAGAGAGAGAGAGGGACGAGTTGAAAAGATGGAGAAAGAGAGAGAGGAGGGGGACGTTTGAAAAGATGGAGACAGAGAGAGAGAGAGGGGGGGGACGTTTGA